AAGGAATGGCCTAACGGGATTCAGCGGAGAATAGCCGTAGGACAGCTTGTGTACGCACGCTCCATGGTTCCCGTTGGTCCTGACGACACAAGCTATGTCATCCTGTATGGCAAAGTCATGGACGTCAAGCGGATCATGAAGAACTGGGTCGTGTTCACGGTGAGGACGTGGTCGGGAGTGGAGAGAGAGCTACAGGTACCGGCTAGGATGGCAAAACTGATGGGCATATGATTGACGAGGCAGAACCTAGGTGACGTAGAACCAGATACGATATCGGACCACCCAACGCCGCACACCCCGCGCAGCGAGGGTACGCCCCCGCTCTCATTCTCTGCTCCCCAGCCAACGCCTCTATTATATACAGTTCGTTCTACTCTGCACTAGGTCTTTGCCTGTTTTTAGATATCTCTTGCATGCTGCTATCCTTCGCTCTCCTTGCTCTGTCGTTACCCTACTATACATCTGTACCCACCCACCCTTAATAGTTAAGCTCTCATAGCCAGGCGCATGGTACAGTCGGACAAGTGTCCCGGGAAGTAGATTACTTAAAAAAGGCAGGTCGTAAGGCACGATCTACACAATTGACGAACGCCACAAGGCAGGCTACACAGCATGACGCCTGCCCGACTCACAACGACTCATCACAATAAGCCCGCCGAACACCATATGGTCAGCGAAAAGAGTCATCGTGACTCAGACAAGAGACCCGCATGGCACACGGAATGACTCACTGAGAGTCAAGCTGACTCGTCATGACTCATGTCCTGTCTAATAAAGGTAATTTGCTGACAAATCACCCCTGAGCCTAGGGGTATATAAGGGCGAGCGCACAGCGAGGAAAGGGAATCGACTTTCCCCCTCAGACGGAGCAGGGAAGTAAGGTCACCTCAGCCGTACTGTTCAGAGTAGCAGTATCTGTAGTCTTTCTACATTGCGCACAGGCGTAGTGTACCGCTGTAGTTGCCATAGTCTTTCTGAATACATCTAGTCACCCATTGAAGCATAAAGTCTGATCTGACGTCGAGCCGCCAACCCACTGGAAACCTACGCAAAACTACCCTCCGCAACAAATACTTTTGAACTCACAGGTAAGGTTCGCGAAAGTGGAAAAGCTAACTATAACCTAGGTTTGAAACAATCTTTCACCATGACAACGGAGAGAAGGGGGTGCCCGATGGGCGAGGGCTCTGCAGGACAATCCTGGCTCTCCTCAACTACCACCCAGTTGATTGCCTCTTCGGGTGGGAACACAGTGAGTGGCAGTGCAGAGTGGCTCATGTACCTCATTGCCATTGTCTGCCGCTTTCTGGGGTTCAAAGAGGTGCAGTGGTGCAACTGTACGGCATCCACCCTGCTTAGCCTAGACTTGCAGGTGATGGGTGGCGTTGCGGAGCCAGATAAGTTCTATTGTCGTGTTGAACAGGAGGTACTGACCTTCTATATATGCTCATTCATGACTTGTCTAGGCTACTACCCGTGTCCTTTTCTTCCTAGCCCAGCGTATCTGTCGTTGCCATGTGGTGAGCATTGCAAGGACTATGATTGATTTTTTTTGGTTGTATCACGTCATTTGTATAATATTCTGCATCAATTCATGACGCCTTGCACTGATGACTTGTAAAAATCTAAGTGATGGCTGACCCACAGGTGACCCGCGAAAGTCAAAGAGCCGGACCCGTTGCATGGGTGATTTGTTTCCCATGGCTCACTGAGGATCTGGGTCACGAGGTAGGCATGGTGGGTACCCGTCACGTGGGTCCAGGTCAAGTCCAGATCTGACTTGTGATGTGCCCTACTATGCACTGAGGATGTTAGATATCGGCTCCGAAGCGGTAGCAGTGAGGCGACAATGAACAAGGGTCGGATTAGCACTGGGTAGCGTAAGAAGAAGCAGAGTGTAATCCATAAGAGAAAAAAAGAGAAGAGCGGGTGCAAATCAACACAATCAAGCCACTTGGGGATTGCCGAGAAACTGTACAGTAGCACGCGGCGTGTGCCGGCGAGCATGTACTGTGTAAGCGGAATTATTCAACAGAGGAATGATAATGTAACAGAGTCAGAAATGGGCACACCTGTGTGCCATTACAATGGCTGTCCTGACCGTGGGTTCAGACTAGTCACATGACTGATCTGGTGGTCCTTTCAGCCACTGTGCGTCAAAAATGCAGATTCCACATCATTATAAAAATGTCTGTAAACAGCTGCTCACTGATCCCTAAATATAAAAGTGGACGTACTATCACCATACGTTGCTCCTCATCTTACATGGTAAAGATCCATGGAGGGCGACGAGCAACGAACAATGATAGTATATCCACTTCATGTTTAAGAATTAGCGCAGAATTGAACTCAGGATCTTCTGCTTAACCATACTGGCAAGTAGCAATGTTACCATTACACTACAGGCCCTTTAATTGGAGATGCTACCTAGAGTATTCATGGACATGCAGATGCTGCTAATGGAGCCTCTCTGGGAGGAACCGGGTTCTCACAGTGTGGCCTAGCACTGATGCAATGCAGATAAGGTATTTATCCACTGAAGTTCTTGATGCCCTTCGGGGAATGACCCATCACAATGATAAGTGATGCACAATAATAGGATGTCCACTTTATGTCCAGAAATCAGTGGGCAGCAGGTTAAGAGATGATCTCGCATGGTTGCAGTAAGAAAGTGAGCGATAGTAGTGGGCGAGCTAAGGATAATCATGTCAAGAAACTCCCTTAGAAATCGCGATCACATAAGTACTCGTGAGAGATTTGGTATTTGCCAAAGTCGCCGGTGGTTGTAAGCGCCTGCGACGTGTTCGCAACTCCTCGCCGCGAGCTCGCAGCCGATCGCGATCCCGCTCCCTTAGGCTGCGCGCAGAGTTATGGTAACCAGCTACACATCCATATCCATGCGCCGAGGTTCCCTTCAAGTTTGAGCTTACTGTCGCCAGCGTGCCCAAGGTCAGTATCGGCGCATTTTATCGAGAGAGGGTGTGTTCTGACGTCCCAGGCTTGTCCCAGACTTGTCCCAGGCTTGTTCCAGGCAGACACCCCTGCACCGCACCCGCACGATGCCTCCGCCGTCGGGTCCGGGGTGAGTGAGACTCGCGAAGGCCACGGTGTTCGGCCGGTACACATGCAGGCGTTGTACTCGACGTGTCTTTCGTAGATCGGATGTCTCGATGCCGTTGCTCGCCGGCAGATCCGGAAGGCGGGCTTCGAGTGCCCATCAAACGAACTACTCGATGGCCACCCTCTCCCTCATGATCATGGCGTTCTAGCAAAGCATTGCACCGGTCTCGGTATATGAGACCGTGGTATAGCGAGTGCGTGCACGCCTGTGCTTGCTGGACTATCGGGATGCTGACCCGTTTGCTACCTCCCAGCATCTAATGGCCGTGCGTGTTTCACTGTCGCCTTGAGGTACTCGTTGGGAGTAGATTCAGACCGTCGTCCAACATTTCTGTCGACACCGAGACGACAGTCAACTGCACTCCTGCCCGTGCCAGAGACACGTGGATGCATGACACTTCGGGACGGAAGGCCGGACCTAGGCTTGGATCTTCAAGCCTGAATGCCGAGTGGCTCCCTTTGTCCGGGTTCCCGCTGAACAGCTTTCGTCCGCACTGTTCTCTCTCTTTCCCTATAACCGCCAATTCCTTTCCGCCATGGAACAGATATTATCGTCGATGGCTCAACTCTCTGTCGGCGGTATGGTCAGCGATCGGGCCGACGACGAAAGGACCGCGCTTTCGAATGCCGGTGAACCAGATGCCGACCTCCATTGTCCAAATCATATCTCTTCGTCTCTATCTCGCGAGGGAACGCTCGAGGACATCTTGTACGCCGGACTCGACATTGTCTCCAATCTGGACGCGGGCGGCAGAGGGGCCATCATAGCGGGATTGAAGCCTCACGTCAGGCTCCTCGATCACCAGGTTCAAGGAGTCACCTGGATGGCAAGTCAAGAGCAGAATCGTACCCTTTCGGGTGGAATCTTGGCCGACGGAATGGGGTGAGCGGCTGCCTGCAGCGCATACGTCACTTATCGACCTGATGCCATTCATGCAGAATGGGTAAGACGCTGCAAATTTTGGCGCGAGTCGTGGAGGACAGACGGAACCTCGTAGAGTCTGGCTGGATGAATCCTGGACCGACTCTGTGAGTAACTACAAAGGGTAGAGTGTTAACCGCGCTTATAATCTCGCCAGTGTTGTCTGTCCAGCGGGTCTCATATCTCAATGGGCGTCCGAGATTGCATCCTTTGTGGTTGATCCCACCGTCTTGCAATACCACGGGTCGCATCGCGAGACTGGTCCGTCGTCGGGCGTCTTACCCGTTCTATTTGCTTATATGTCGACTCTCCTTTCAGATCCCACTGTCCTCGAAAGGGCAGACTTTGTGATAACAAGCTATGGTACCATTTCGGCTGAACACGACACGTTGTCTAAGGCGAGCCCTGGGAAGAAGGCAACTGTGCTGCACATAGCATGGAGGCGAGTGGTGCTTGGTAAGTGCGCCAACCTGTGCCGATCTCGGCTGAATCATGTCTCAACCATGCCACATCCAGACGAGGCTCATCGCATCAAGAACTGGTCGACCAAAGTGGCGACGGCTTGCTGTGAAATAAAAGCAGACTTCCGATGGTGTCTCACGGGTACACCATTGTAGGCTCGAACCCGCTTACTAGGCGACATACTGATAAATTGTTGATCATAGCCAGAACCGCGTTGACGACCTGTACTCTTACATACGATTCCTCCGCTTTGCCCCCCTGGACAATCACGATCTATTCCGCGTGCGAATCTTGCAGCCGTTCCAGAAAGGCAGGGTGGCTGACGCATTGACTTGTCTTCGCGTGCGTGCATATTACAGTGGAGCATCTGGGATTGGCTGACGGCTGGTGACATAGTTCGCACTCCGTTCAATCTTGCTGCGCAGAGGCAAGAACATCATCTCCCTTCCCCCACGCACTGTGCATGTCGTAAAGTGCCGTTTTCAAGATGAAGAGCGGACATTCTACGATGCTCTGGAAACAAAACTCAAAAGCGATGTCAGGGAAGCTGGTGCATGCACTTTCAGCACACTGCTGCGACTGAGACAAGGTATGTTGGTTGAATTATGCCTTATCTCCGTGGAGCTGAGCGTAACGTACCTCGAACGTGTCAGCATGTTGTCACGAACGTATCTTATCCGAAGACGTCGCCGGAGACGTCACAAGCAAGACTCTGGCGACGAACCGATCAGAGTGCGATGCATGTGGAATGTACGTCCAGTCTTCGGCGTCGTGAACAACACTCAGCGTCACGGCAGATTTTGCTCATGCGACGACATCGTGGACACGTCGACGCGTGTCTCGTCATCCCGCCTGACGCGACCGAATGCAGATGCGGCAGCTGACTCTCCTCTCAACTCCACTAAAGTGCGCAAAGTCGTTGAGCTGTTGCGTTTGATCCAGCTCCGTCCAGGATGTCAGAAGACCGTCATATTTTCTCAATTCCTCGGCATGCTGGACATCCTGGGAGAGGTGCTATCCATCGAAGGGTTCGGATATGTTCGATGTGAGTCTGACAGTGTCTCTGTCTCATGTGATATTGAAACCCGCCTCCAGACGACGGCGCCATGGCCAAGTCCCAGCGCGAAGACAGTTTGCGCCGCGTCAGAGACGACGAAGACGTCACCTGCATATTGATATCCTTCCATGCGGGATGCGTTGGTAAGTCAAGGTTGGTTACACGCGCCGCAAAGTCTCTCAAGTTGTCTTTGCAGGTCTCAACCTGACCGCTTGCTGCAACGTCATAATGACAGACCCCTGGTGGAACCCCGCGCTCGAGGTAGACCAGCTCCACGGCTGGACACCTGATATTTACTGACCATGGTGCAGGAGCAGGCCTTCGATCGGGTGCATCGAGTCGGTCAAACCAAGGATGTCAACCTGTACAAGCTGGTCGTAGATGGGACGGTGGAGGAACGCATCATAAATGTCAGTGATGAGTGTGGTCTCATGACGGGTACTTTTTTAGATCTGACCCCAGATGCAGTTACAGGAAAGGAAGCGAGCTGTCGCCAACAGGGCTCTGAGCCAAGATAGTCTGGGCGGCTTGAAATTAACTAAGGATGACATGGGCGCTCTCCTTCGTCCGATCGTACCGTCATGATCACGGTCACTATAAATGCACGATGGTGATCGTCCCGTAGCATAGTGTAGACGCTACTTGCCCAGAATCAACGTCTACCTCGAAGACCGCTACTTACTGCAGCTTGTACTTGGTAGGAAACGATATCAGATCGCGAATTGGTCTTTCATCCCTCTCCGAGCGCACTTGAAGTTTGAACAGCGTATAATTGCCACGGGTATGATATGGCTTATGGCTCGACTGGGGTAGGTAGGTAGGTGGTGGTGCGATCCCATTCAGGAACGAGAAAGGCAGCTCGGACCCGCACATTCTCCAGTTCAATCTGATGCGCAGGATGGGCCGCGAATGTCTTCAACGCCAATCTGACCCGGCAGGGCCGGCACGCTGTATGTTGACGTGAACGACGGACATCACAATGAATGCTACAGTAGGTGCGTAGTATCAGAGAAACGCCTATGCTCGCCTGCCGACCGCTGTGTCTACCAGCCAGCGACAAGCGGCGCCAAGAAGGGAGTGGACTCTAGTCTGATGGATGCGCAAGAGATCGGCCTGTTTCGAAGCCGTGCGGGTGAGGGGCATCCGCGCAGGTCGCCGAACACCGTCTGGGGCGCGGGAGAGCTTTCGCGTCGTCACAGACCTTGCTAATATCCAATAGAGTGGATGGTCGACCTTTAAGAGATACCTGGAGCTTCGTTTCAACTGACACGAGCACGCGACGTATTGCACACCGGTAGCGAAGAAGTCAACCATGAGGGGTTCCGAGTCGAATTGAGCTCGTCGGCAAACCTGGCTGAGGCGCGGTCCTGGGCGTACAACGCATTGGCAGGATAGGATGCACCAGAAGATTGGGCTACTACATATGAGTTGCAGGCTACCCAGTCAAACCATTTGTACCCAGAAATGCACCCGAGGGCTAGAGTATCAAGTTCTGATTCAGCAAATAATAATGTATCAAGGCTAAATCACTGGCAAAGTCGCCGTTCGTTCTCTTAGTGTTATTACAAACTCCGTGACGAGGCGGTGATCGCTGACCAGCTCCAGCAACTAGCTCCAATCGGATATGGAGGGCACACGCCATGACTGTTTCGAGACGTCGTCGTACATGTCGCAA